TCTCAAGGCAGTAACAGGAATACTTCCTTTTCAAGCAAGCCTGTATCCTGTCAGAACGTACAAGTTTACAGAATTATAGTGTATAGAAGTAGAAGCAGCTGGGAGCTGGCAGCTCACAGCTTGTAACCCTAGCCACTCTGGAATCCGAGATCTGAGGATCATAGTTTTGAAGCCAGCCTGGGCAAGACAAATTTGTGAGACTCTTCTCTCCAATTAGCCAGCAAAAAGCCAGAAGTGGAGGTACAGCTCACATGGTACAGTGAAAAAGCTAAGGGTGGGTGGCAAGGTCCTGGATTCCAACTCCAGTACAAGTGTACACACACACACACACACACACACACACACACACACACACGTAGTTGTGCCTCTCCAGGCACTCCCAAGACCTATTGCTTTTGGAACAGGTGTACCTGGTCTTAGATGATAGTTGTTTGTATGTCTCACATTGAACTGTGAGCTTGCTAAGGGCTAAGACTATGTTATTATCTTTCTCTTCTATACACAGGAGTTCTCAATAAATATTTGTTATCCTGATTATTACCAAATTTCATTAATAACACATATATTATTACCCCGGGTTTGCTTGATGATGCTCATATTATCATAATATCCTCTTTAGTGAAAAGAATAAATACTTTCTCCAGGAATTCCACCTCAACATTTACAACTGCCCATGAGCAGTTTGCTTAGATCTCTTGCAGTTTACTTATTCACTCATCCAATATTCTTTTTTTTTTTTCTGCCAGTATTGGAGGTGCTTGAACTCAAGGTCTTGCAAGCTGTTGCCTGGCTTTTTCACTCAAGGCTGACATTCGACCACTTGAGCCATGGCCCCACTTCCAGGTTTTTGCTGGTTAATTAGAGATAAGAGCCTTAAATCTGGCTTGAAATCTTGATCCTCATATCTCAGCCTCCTGAATAGCTAGGAGGACAGACTCACCCAACATTTTTGAGAAACATATTTTAAACTTGACAATGTCATAGGTATTAGAATGTGAGGGCTGGGAAGGTGGCTCAGTGGTAGAGCGCTTGCCTTGCATGCATGAGGCCCTGGGTTCGGTTCCTCAGCACCACATAAGCAGAAAAAGCTGGAGGTGGCACTGTGGCTCAAGTGGTAGAGTACTAGCCTTGAGCTGAAGAGCTAAGGAACAGCACCCAGTCCCAGAGTTCAGCCTCCACAACAGACAAAAAAAAAAAAAGAATACAATATGATTCCCCTCCCCACTTTTTTCTTGCAATGCCAGGAATTGAACCAGACTCTTTTGCACATGAGGCATGTACCCTACACTGAATTACATTTCCAGCCCTAAGGGCTTGAAGTTTGATGTGGGAACCCAAATCAGTTACAGTGTATCAAAACCACTGTTGCTAAGAGGGGTGAGAGAAGATGTTATAGGGGAGTGGAAGAGGGATACTCAGGATAAACTATTCTCCTGCAAGACAACAGCACAGTAGAAAGAACAAGGAGTGAGCAGGTTCTCAGCTCACTAGCCTGTTCCCTGATATGTATACTAACTGTATACATATGTATATAGCAGGGATTGCTGTAAAGAGCAAAGTAATACACATAGAATACATAAAAAGAAACTTTGCATATGCTTGGAATAAACCAGTAAAGCAGTACTATTAAATTATGCTCACCTGCGGACTTTTCCATTAGCCATCTGCCATTTCCCTCCACTTACACTCTCCCAGGAAGTCTTCCTCCGCCTTCAAACAACTATCACAGGTCTTACCTTGGAACCCTGCTCACATCCTCCTCTTCCCTTCGCGCTCTGTTTATCACAGCCTCACACCTGGATTGTCCCAACAGAGCCTTCAGCTGTCCAAATCTCTCTATTCCATTCTTCCTATTATTCACACATCTATTCCTAAGAGATGGTTTTCTTTCATTTCTTTCCCCTGTACAAATGAATTCATGTTTGCCTCATTAACCAAAGAAGACCCAAGACCAAACCTTATAGGTTGACATTTAAGGCTTTGGGCAATTTAGCTCTATTTTATTTACCCAAATATATCTGTTCTCAGCATAAAGCTGTAATATTAACTGGTGTGGCTTTCTCCTGTCTCCTGAACAAACATACAGGAGCCCAACCACACACAGTTTATTCTCTCATTCACGGTAGCCTCTCCTAGTCTGTGAAGGAAGAGTGGGAAGGCCAGAAGAGTGCAATTACAGTACACAGGAATAGGAGCCCCTCATCTCCTAACCATCCTTCAAATCCCAGCTCAGGGCACACCTCCTCTGTGAAGCCTTCCCAAACGAACTCATTGTCTCCAGAATACTTAGAACACGTATCCCCCCAGCCTCACCCCTTGCACTTCCACATCTCAGAGTTCCTGAAGCATGAGACAGAGTGGTCAGGCCCCACTCCCAGAGACTCCAGGGGTCTATGTGGACCAGAGAACTTAATTACTTAGCAGGATCTGATGATAAGGACCTACATATGATCCCTTTATTTATAATTTCTCTTTGTGGAGCACCATTGGTACACACTTGTAATCCTAGCTACTTAGGAGGCTGAGATCTGAGGATCAAGGTTCAAAGCCAGCCCAGACAGGAAAGTCTGTGAGATTCTTCTTTTTTGTTGTTGTTGGTTGTGGAGCTTGAATTCTGGGCCTGGGTCCTGTCACTCAGCTCTTCAGCTCAAGGCTAGCACTCTACCACTTGAGCCACAGCGCCATTTCCAGTTTTCTACTGGAGATAAGAGTCTCACAATCATGGGGCTGCGAAGGTGGCTCAGTGGTAGAGTGCTCGCCTTGCATGCATGAGGCCCTGGGTTCGATTACTCAGCACCACATATGCAAAAAGAAAAAAGCCGGAAGTGGCGCTGTAGCTCAAGTGGTAGAGCGCTAGCCTGAGCTGAAGAGCTGAAGGGCAGTGCCCAGGCCCAGAGTTCAGGCCCCACAACTGGACCCAAAAAAAAAAAGAGTCTCACAGTCTTTCCTGCCTGGGCTGGCTTTGAACTGTGATCCTCAGATCTTAGCCTCTAGAGTAACTAGAGTTACAGGCATGAGCCACCAGTGCCGGGCTTGTGAGACTCTTCTTACCTCTAATTGACCACTAAAAAGTCCAAAGTGGAGCTGTGACTCGAGTGGTAGGTCATCAGCCTTGAGTGGAAAAGCTAAGGGCCAACACCCAGGCCCTGAGTTCAAGCCCCAGTACTGCTCTGGATGACCTTGGCCCTTACTTTCATTGCCATTCTATCTAAGGTCTTTAGGTTTGATCTTTGTGGATCAGTCTCCAAACATAAACTTGCTGCCTACATTTTCTTTGTTTCTCATTTGATACCTTCAACCACGTAGGGAGAAAGAGCACCCTTCTTACACATTGCTGGGGACTGGATCAAAGGTGGCCAGACAGCCCACAGAGCAGAGGCTGGCTGGCGTAGGTCCCCAAGGGGAGCCACGTGCAGTCCACAGAATTGCTGTACTGAGGGCTAGCAGGCACTGGCTCTTAAGGGCGACATGCAAGTTTCAGCCTGCTTCTCTAACTTCTAGAGAACTCAAAGGAATGGATGAGCACAGGGTACTCTTCCAGGTGCTGAGCTGAGAATCAGGAAGTACAGCAGCGGGTCTCCAGTTCCCAAGTGCACAATATGGAGGTTCAGCCATCCAGGTGTTTACACCTCATTGTAGAGCACAGAAGAGGCAGAAGCTGCCAGACCAGTCAAGGAGAAAGTGAGGTAATACTTCTTTGAAGGTCACTTATGTTCAAGGTGCTTGCACCTACAGGATTTCATGAAATCTTCACAAGGGAGATAGCATCTCATTCATTTTAAAGTGAAAGCCACAGCCTCAGGGAAGTTATATAAGTTGTCTAAGGGCCACACAACTGGGAAAAGGGAAAGCTATTAGGGGTACAGGACAAGCTGGACATTCTTGGTCTGTTTGACCCTTGGTCTTTTGGGTTCAGCAGCAGGGCCAGAGCAGCATGGTCCTGAGATGTGTCATACGGTCTGGGCAGTTGCTCAATGTGACTAACAGTAAAGAGAGTAAACCTCAGTCTCCACACGGCTCCTGCTCCCAGACAATCCTTAGCATTGTGTTAGCCTGGGCCTGCACAGGATGCATGCTACTTCTGGAAAGTTAGTGGGAAAGAGGGGGGGAGGAATGGGGTGCTCAATGTAAATGCTCCTGGATGGTACAGACTCAGGCGCTCCTCCTACATCCAACACACTCTGACTTTCCACACCCTGTATGGACAAGCTTTCTGGACAGACATGGCACAGATCTGGGGGTGGCTCACAGAGAGAGAGAGAGAGAAGTGCAGGATCAGATTCAAGGTGACACGTACCAGCCTACACAGACCCACGCGGCCTGCTGCCCAGACTCACCCACAGAGGAGGCAGATGCTCACAGAGGCCAGCCAGGCACCCCACATGGAGGGCCACTCTGGCCCACATTCCCATAGCCAGGTGGGCAGATGAGGGCACAAGCTCTATCACCTCGACAATGGTGGGGAGGGTTAGGGGGAGCGGAAAGTGTTTCCTCCATCACTTCCAGGCCCTTTGCCACCAGAGGGACCCCACTCTGGAAAGGAATGGGGTTCCTTTCCTACAGTTCTTTCTTTCCACAGGCCCAGTTCAGTTCCTTTCTGGCTGTGCATTGAGGCATAGGTGGGGGAGGGGACGGAGTGCAGAAAGCCTGGGGTGGGGGAGGGCCTGGGGACACAGATGGGAGGGGGAGTTGGGTGACCAGAACCTAGAGGGGTGACAGATGGGAGTCAAGAGTTGGTCAGCACCAGAGGGGCTGACACCTGTTAGAGCTCCCCCTGAGACCCCTTTCTCTAACTCAGGAGACCCCTAAACTGCTCTGTCCCCAAATCCACACTGTGCAGCGAGGCAGAGAGGCGAGGGCAGCTGGCCCAGGGGTCGGGGGAAACGAGATGGCCAGAAGGAAAGGTTCTTTTGGGGGGAGACCCCCCCTTAGCTGCTGCACTCCAGTCCTGTCCCCCTGTGCGCGCAGGAAGGAGGGCTTCGCGGGCCCCATCCCCTTACCGTCTGCGGGGGGCTGCCCACGGTCATCTCCACGTAGTAGCCTTGGCCAGACTTGCCCCTCAGGTTGTCCACCATCTCCACAAAGCTGCCCCTCGGCCCGGGCTCCTCGGGCTCCTCGTCGGTGTCCCGGGGCAGCCGCAGCCCGAGCGGAGCCCCGGCCAGGCCGCTGCGCAGGGGCAGCCGGATGCCCCGCTGGGTGCCGTGCGCAGGCAGCACGCCCCAGCCCACCCACAGCAGGAGCCAGGGCAGGGCCGGGGCCATGGTGGGCCCGGGCCTTCTGGGCGCTCTCCGGCCCACGATCGTCCCTGTCGCCTGCCCCGAGTGCGGGCGCTGGTGGCTGGTCTCAGGAGAGGGGGCCCGGAGGCATCGGGACCCCCAGATCTCCCGGGCCCCTGCGCCAACCCGCTCGGGTCCGGGCCGGTGGAAGCGAAGCGGCGGGCCGGAGAAATCCGCAGCGCGGCGCGGGCGCGCGAGGAGAGAGCGGGCGGGCACCGGGGACCCCGCCGGGCTACAGCGGGGCCGGGGCGGCCGGCCGCGGCGGGGGGCGGCTGGGAGGGGCGGCCATGGCAGCGGGGCGCCCGGCGGCGTCCTCGGTCCTCCCCCGGCGCGGGGCCGACGGCTCGGAGAGGGGCCGGCCGCTCAGGACACCACCATCCCGCTCCGGCTCCCAGGCGGGCCGGGGAGGCGGAAAGACTTGTGGCGACGGCTGTCAAAGCCCGGGGTTCTCGCTTGTCCCTGGCGTCGCTGGGAAGTGTAGTCTTCCCGGGGCTTCCGGAGCTGCAGAGGGGTCTGGGATGCCCTCTGCCGAGCCGGAGTCCACCCTGCAGGCCCCTGGCAGCGAGGGGGACGGGTGGCCGGCGCCCCTCTCACCTGTCCGCCCTTCCAGCAGTTGGCTTGAGCGCCCGGGGCGTGCGACCAAGCCCTGGGGCTACCCAGCACACCCTAAAATTGATTCCACAGGGGAGGACGGGGTGATTCCGGCCGCGGCGGGGTTTGCGCACCCATGGAGGGTGGCCCGTAGGAGGATGCCACGGGAGGAGCTGGTATTTAATTTGAACCCCAGTTTACGCAGGAGCAGCGATTGGGGGGGGGGAAGATTAAAGGGATGCATGGGTGTTTTCGACTGCAAACCACAGGAGCAGAGTCTAACAGGGGAATGTGCAGTCGGTGTGTTTTGTTTTTGTGTGTTCTCTCCCCCCACCTCCCAAGTCTGCAATCTGTGGGCAGATAGGAGCCAGCCCAGTCTTCTCTGTCTGGGTCCTCAGGACCCGCCCTCCCTGCTTCCTGCACCGCCAGTCTACCAGGCCAAGGATAAATGGCTGTGGAAAGCTTTGAAGTGTTATCGCTCCAAGACGTGTCAGCGTATTAATTGAAAAGAGCTTAAGATGAAGAGCTGTAGAGCTTTAGTAGCTTAAAGGAGAAAAAGCTTTATGATTGTGTCATCGCATTATTTATCAAGCATGGAAAGACCTTGAGAAAATCCAGTAGCCATAATAATAAAATTATATTTAAAAAACCAGTAGTCATTCTCATTTTTTTTTAAAAAGGGAGGCATGGCTCAGGTGGTAGAGCCCAGCCAATGAGCAAAAGCAAGCATCAGCGAGTTTGCATCCTGGTCTTAGACAAAAACAAAACAAAAGCAATGATGATACTAATAATTAATACTAATTATGATAGTCTAGAAAACATATGTTAAGAAAGCTAGCCAGGCACGGGTGGCTCACTCCTGCAATTCTAGCTACTCAGGAGGCTGTGATTCTCAGGATTGTGATTCAAAGCCAACTGGGACAGGGAAGTTTGTGAGACTTTTATGTTCAATTATCCCCAGAAAACCAGAAGTGGCACTATGGTTCAAAGTGGTAGAAGTGATAGAGCACTAGCCTTGAGACAGTACTAGGCCCTGAGTTCAAGCCCTACAACTGGCAGGGGGAAAAAGAAAGCTAATGTTTGCTGCTGATGCCTTATGCTTGTAATTCTGGCTACTCAGGATGGTAACGCTCTGAGTTCAAACTCTATTATAGACAAAAGAAAAGCAGAAAGAGAGAGGGGGTTAGAGAGAGAAGAGGGTGAGAGAGAGGGGGGGGAGAGAGAGAGAGAGAGAGAGATACTGGGCATTGGTGGCTTACACCAGCAATCCCAGCTACTAAAAGGTAAAATATGAGGATAATGATTCAAAACCAGCCCAGTCAAGAAAATCTGTGAGACTCTTATTTCCAGTTAACCACCAAAAAAGCCAGAAATGAGGATGTAGTCAAGGTTAAGTGTTAGAGTGCTAGCCTTGGGTAAAAATCTAAGGGACAGCATCCAGGCCCTGAGTTCAAGCCCTAGTACCACACACACACACACACACACACACACACACACACACACACACAATGCTAAGGTTATTCTCGCTGATTTGGGCTTAGGAAAAGGAAGGTCATTATCACCACTGTTATTCCATAGGGTTTAGATTAGTCTGGCCAAGTTAATACAGTAAGCAAATAGAACAAGTGGTATAAATATTGGAAAGCAAAAGGATCATTATTTGCAGATTATATGATATGAAAGAAAAATCCTAGCAATGATGTGATTAGACTTCAGCTAAACAAACATAAGGGACTAAGGGATGGCTCAGAGGTAGAGCATTTGCTGTGCATATTCAAGGCCCTGGGTTCAATCTGTAGCATGCAGCTCGTGTGTGTGTGTGTGTGTGTGTGTGTGTGATATGTTACAGTGAGGTCTAGGAAGGTCTTCCAAAGGGAGGATGCCTCTACCTAGCCCTTGGGTATGGATTGGGGGTGATGTTGCAAAGAAGAATGTTAGGGCACATTGAGATAGAGACCAAGAAATTCATTAGTGAAGTAGAGCAAAGGAAATAATGGCCCACCCCAGACACATGCACATCTGGGATTTACAACACACCACAGACCATTCTAAGTGCTTTACATGGAGTACTTCATTGTTTCCTACATCTTGAAGTCATATTCTTATTATCCTATTTTGCAAATGAGGAAATGAGACATCCCAGGAAGGTTAAGAAATGAGCCTGTGGGTTTCCACTTACTGAGTGGAAGAGCCAGAATTGGACTACTAATGTGTTGTGGTACTTCTGATTCGATGGAAGTTCCAAATATTTAAGTAGTCCAGTCTGCGTGTTTCCTGAGTTTCATTAAAAAGCCTTAATAGAAGAAGATTTATGATGAGTGAGAATTCCTCTCTTCACTACTGATTTGGTATGTGTCATTTTTCTTATGTTCCCCCAAAGACTTACTTTCTTAATTGTATGTTTGTCTGAGAGCCCTTGATAAATGGGCTTTCACATTTCTAAGTATGAACCTATGGGGGGAACCTGTTAAAATGTGACTTGCTCATCACTGTGGATAACTCCATAGATCTCACAGCATCCTGTAGTTTATTACCTAGGAACCCATGTTAAGGACAAATGTCATGGTTATTTTTTACTCAGGTCTCATTGTGTATCCTAGGTCCTTGACAATATTCCTGCATTAGACTTCTGAGTTTCTGAGATTAATGGTCTGGACCATCATTCCTGACAAAAGTTAAGCTTTTCTTTCTTTTTTTTTTTTTTCCCTTGCTGTTGGCCATGGGAATGAACTGAGGGCCTGGGTGTTGTCCCTGAGCTTTTGTGCTCAAGGCTAGTGCTCCTCCACTCTTTTTTTTTGCCAGTCCTGGGGCTTGAACTGAGGGCCTGGGCACTGTCCCTGAGCTCCTTTTTGCTCAAACCTACACTCTACCACTTGAGCCACAGCACCACTTCTGGCTTTTTCTGCTTATGTGGTGCTGAGGAATCGAACCCAGGGCCTTGTGCATGCGAGACAAGCACTCTACTACTGAGCCACCTTCCCAGCCCACAAATGGTGTTTTTTTAATAAGTTTTTTTTTATTGTGAAAATACCATACAGAGGGGTTACAGTTACATGAGCAAAGTAATAGTACATTTCTTATCAAGCATTATTGCCTCCTCCTCTGTTTTTCCCCTACCATCCCTGCCCTCCCATCTCCATGACTATCCCTTCCCCCACCCACCCCCCATGGTGTTTTGAAGTCCCTGATTTATAAGGTCTGTAGTGGATGATCTGGTGTACTTCCCAGAATGGTTCCTTTGGCTCCTTAGTAAGACTACTTATTTATTATTATTATTATTATTATTATCATTTTGGTCGGTTGTGGGGCTTGAGTTCTGGGCTTGGGCGCTGTCCCTGCACTCTTCAGCTTAAGGCGAGCACTCTACTGCTTAAGCCACAGTGCCACTTCTGGTTTTCTAGTGTTTTATTGGAGATAAAAGTCTCACGGACTTTCCTGCCCCAGTTGGCTTTGAACCACTATCTTCAGATCTCAGCTTCCTGAGTGGCTAGGATTACAGGCATGAGCCAGCGGCGCCCGGCTTATTGTTTTTATAAAGATGATATACAGAGGTTACAGTTATATAAGTCAGGTAAAGAGTACATGTCTTTTTTGGACAATGACACCCCTTCCCTTGCTATCTCTCAGTTTTTCCTTCCTGTCCACACCTACAAGTTGTGTAGTTCATATTCAACATAGTGTCTAGTAAATTTCTTTGTTTATTTAGGTGGTTTGAACTCAGGGCCTTAGTGAGACTTTTAAGGAGTGAGGACAGGAAGGAGGACCAATTAAAATAATCTGGAAAAGAATCAACTGCAGTGGGATTAGAGGAAACACAGGTTGAACTATGGCAAAAAAGTTTGAAATTAAAAAAACATATCCCTAGATGGGCACTGGTGACTCATACCTGTAATCCTGGTTACTCAGTAGACTGAAATCTAAAGATGATCACAGTTTGATGCCAGCCCAGACAGAAATGTCTGTAAGACTCATCTCTAATTAGCCAGAAAAAAGCTGTAAGTGGAACTAGGTAGAGAGTTAGACTTGAGTGAAAAAATCAAAGGGACAGTGCCTAGGCCATGAGTTCAAGTCCTACATGTCCTGGCTATCGGATACTTGGCCTTATTGCCTCCTCTTCAACTAGCAATGAGACATCTCCACTTTTCTGTTTCTATTTTCCTATTCGCAGAGTATCTGAAGCTGTCCTTGCTCCATTTATTATGGAGACTGGCCACACAGGAGAGAAAAGTTTTTTTCCCCCCATATAAGCAAAACAGAAGCTCTTTGGAATTATATTACTATGAGTCCTTCTGCTAGACAGGATATGTGGCGGGTTGTCCATACATTATGTCATTTTTTTCTTCTGTTATAGACTCTAAAATAAATGACAGTTCCTATTGTCCCCATCTTGCAGATATACAAACTAAGCCCTGTGTTCTGGTGAATAGATGGGTAATAGAAACTTGTCCTCTTAATTCTTTTTTTTTTTTTTCTCCAGTCCTGGGGCATGAATTCAGGGCTTGGGTGCTGTCCCTGAGCCTCTTTGTGCTAAAGGCTAGCACTCTACCACTTGAGCCTCAGTGCCTCTTTTGGCTTTTTTAAGTAGTTTATTGGAGATAAGAGTTTCACAGGCACTTTTCTGCACAGGCTGGTTTTGAACTGCGATCCTCAGATCTCAGCCCCCTGAGTAGCTAGGATTAGCTGCGTGAGCACCTGGGCCCAGCTTAGTTCTCTTAATTCATCCTGGTCAGTTCATTGATATATCAGAGCACAGGTAACCCATTTCTTGTATTTTATTTGAGGGCTAGAGTAGAGGATGCAGTAGGTGTGGGGGAGTATTGAGACCCTTATATTCACATTTCTTTGGTTTAATAAAAGTCCAGTAAATGGGTTGATTTTTGTTAAACACTGTTATTTACTAGATAGTAATTGGATACTAACGATACTTCTGAGAGTTATGATCAATAGATACTATTATGAGTAGTCCTTCCCTGAACTGGAAGACATTCCCACATCTAAAATACAGAACTCCATTTAACTCCTAGTGGAGACTATACCTATCAACTATCTTGAACTACAACTCCCATCGTGCAACGGGAAAACGTGCCTCATTTCTGGATAATTTGACGGGACCTAAAACCAATCCGCTACCAGAGCTCTCAGCCAGCTACCTATTGGCTCCGGTTAGGGGCGGGACTCTCCGTTGCTAGGCTAGCATCCTTCCGGAAGTGGTTGTTGGTCGCCACAGGGCAACACCCCGGCGTCCCTGGAAGCCAGGGGAGCCGGGGTGGTGCCGGGGAGGCGGCGTAGATTTATCTCTGGGATCCTCTCCAGGAGGGGGACCGGTGAGGAGCCCCTGGGGCAGAGGTGAGGTGGCGTGGCGTGGTGTGGCGGGGAAAGGAGGCACTCGGGTGTGCCCGCGGAGGGGTTTGCACGAGTGTGGGCGGGAACTGGGGAAGACGGGAGGGAGCGGCGGCGGGCCGGGCCGGGCCGGGCGCGAGGCCGGGCGGCGGGCCAGCGGGCAGGAGGGCTCGCGGCGGCGCCCATCGGCTCGTCCTGCCCCCGAGTCAGGGAGCGAGGCCCGGCCTGTGGCCTTGCCGGAGACCTTCTCTTGTGCGTGGGGCGCCGTGTGTGTGTGTGTGTGTGTGTGTGTGTGTGTGTGTGTGTGGCGGGTGGGGTGCGGGGTGGGGGTCGGGGGTCCTCCTCTCCTCGTCGTCGGCCCGTCCCGGGCTAGCCCAGCCTGATGCCATTGCCTGCCAGCTGGGGCAGTTGAAAAGTTTGTTTCTTGTTCTTTCGCCGTTTTCTTTGCACTGATTGAAGAATCTGTCTCCCCTTCTGTAACCGTTTTCTTCACCCGCCTTCCGCGACTTGAGTCTCTTCTGCTTTCCTAGACTTTTGCAGCCACCCCCCCCTCCTCGCCCCAGTCACCGTCTCTTCAGTCCAAGTCTCCCCAACCAGACTGAGTTTAGAGCTGCCTCGTGATCATCACCCCCAACCTCTCTGGTCTCACGGATCTGTTCGTCCTTCTCTGTTTCTCAAGTATTTTACTCCATCTCCTGGATGTTTGGATTGACCGGAAATGGATGGGTGCAGTTTAGTGACCTTCCCCAGCAGCTCTTAAAGCCCCTGATGGGCACAGTCCAGGCAAGTAGCAAGTACACCCCATGAGGTGTCACCTGAACTGTTAGTGACTGCTACCTGCAGTACAGTGTTGAGGCCACATCTTTGTGACATGATTGGCTGGCATGTCCCTCTCAGTCCTAAGTGTGGAGGGAAATTTTCTCACGTGTTATTTGTCATAATTACCTAAGGTCTGCCTTCTGTGTGTGTGTGTGTGTGTGTGTGTGTGTGTGAGTGTGTGTGTGTGTGAGTGTGTGTGTGTGTGTGTGTAAGTGTGTGTGTTGCTATTAGCTGGTATTCCACCACTTGAACTACCACTCCAGTTCTTGGTTAATTGGAGATGGGAATCTTTTGTATGTTTCTTCCTGGACTGACTTCCAACCATGATCCTCAGATCTCAGCCTGTTGAGTAGCTAGGATTACAGGTATGAGCCACTAACATCTGACTCGTCTCACACTTCTGCCCTCTCGATTACAACTTTAGTCCAAGTTGCTACCAGCTCTTACCTAGACTATCTCCTTCCAGCTGGCCTCCTTTCTACTTTGTAATCCCAATGGTTGCTAGAATTCTTTCAACTTCTACATCTACACTACATGCTCATTCTTAGTTTTTTTTTTTGTTTTTTTTTTTTGGTCGTCGTGGGGCCTGAACTCTGGTCCTGGGCTCTGTCTCTCAGCTCTTCAGCTCAAGGCTACTGCTCTGCCACTTTAGCCACAGCACCACTTCCTGCTTAAGTGGTGCTGAGGAATTGAACCCAGGGCCTCATGCATGCAAGGCAAGCACTCTACCACTGAGCCACCTTCCTAGCCCTGACTCAGGCTCATTTCTTCCAATGCTTGTACTCTCTCTCTTAATTGTGCTGGTACCAGAACTTAAACTCAGCTTTTCTTGCTTACGCTGGCACTTTGCTACTTGAGCCACACCTTGAATTTTGGCTTTTTGCTAGTTAACTGGAGATAAAAAAAATCTCTTGGATTTTTCCCATGGTCTAGATTTTGTTTCTCAGATCTCAGCCTCTTGAGTAGACAAGATTACAGATGTGAGCCATTTTTAAAGATCCGCTTATCTGGCACTGGTCAAGCAATCCTCACTAGATGGTAGCTCAGGAGAGTGATGACAGAATCTGTGTTTAGTCATTGCTACATTGTCAGTGCCTGGAAATAAACTTGACAGATGCATAGCAGATAATAAATAGTTCAACAAGCTAGTGGTCTCTACTAGCCACACTCCTCTTTCCTGCAACTTCTTGCTCTTCTCAGAAACCAGGAAAGAAAGTGTTCACCATCTTTTAATTTCTTTTTCTGGTAGATTTGTTTGAATTTTGGATAATCCACAAATCCAGCGTTTCTAGATTCATCCTGGCCTTTAATAGTTAAATATGGATAGTTACACATATAGTTAATTAGGCCTTAGGCCATAAGGACGAACACTATACCTGACCCTTGCTTTCCAGGTGGGAAGTGTCTAGGGATAGGTGATACTTCTCACATGTAGACTTTTCTCACATTCTGTGGCATAGGTAATACAGTGCTTTGTGTAGAGTGTTTGATTGCCCTAGTGTTGGGTCACTATCCAGTTCTCTTTGTCCTTGGGCACCTTTCTTGTCTTTCTCTCCTTAAGAGGATTAAAGGTTCAGGTGGCTCCTTAAGCTATGAGGTACCTCACTTACTGCCCAGGTTCCTGGTTCATTTCTGTTATGCTTTTTTTTTTTTTTTTTTAAATCATGGGTCCTGAACTCTGGGCCTGGAAACTGCCCCTAAGCTCCTTTGCTCAAGGCTAGTGCTCTACTGCTTTGAGCGACAGCACCACTTCCCATTTTCTGGTGGATAATTGGAGATAAGAGTCCATTTTCCTGCCGTGCTGTCTTTGAACCTCTGACATCTCAGCCTCCTGAGTAGCTAGGATTACAGGCGTGAGCCACCACTGCCTGGCTAATACTGGAGTTTTTAACACAAGGTCTCATGTTGCTAGATAAGTGCTCTACCACTGAAGATATGCATCTATCCTTTTTGCTTTAGTTATTTGTCAGATAGAGTCTTTCATTCCCTCTCCCCCTGCTCCCTTTCCCCCTTCATGCCTGGACCACATATATGACCTCCTGTATATGATTCTAGCACATATATAGAATTGTACCAGTGGTCACTTAGAAATCTAGTACCACCCCCTCCCTAGAACTAGAAACCTTGGATTCAAGAAGGACTCTTCAGGCTACTATAGCAGTGTCATATGAAGGGTAACTTAAAAAACAGAAATCCTAGTTCCTGTATTTTTCGTGTTAACACTTGGCAGAGAAAGAAAGTTCTGATTGCTCAACAACGTGTGTGTGTGTGTGTGTGTGTGTGTGTGTGTGGTCATGTGTGTGTGTGTGTGTGTGTGTGTGTGGTCAGTCCTGGAGCCTGAACTCAGGAGCTGGGCGCTGTCCCTGAACTCTTTTTGCACAAGGCTAGCACTCTACCACTTGAGCCACGGCACCACTTCTGGCTTTTCCTGGATATGTGGTACTGAGGAATCGAATCCAGGGCTTCATGCATGCTAGGCAAGCACTCTACCACTAAGCTACATTCCCAGGCCGCTCAGCAACTTCTTATAAGAACACTAATCCTATCCACTGAGGGTCCACCTTGATGACTTCATTTAATTAACTTCCTCCCAATGACCCTCCCTCTAATAATGTCACATTGCAAAACAGGGCTTCAGTATTTGGAGGGACACCACCATTGAGACTTCTTTCTTGTCTTCCCTACATCCTAGCCCTGTGTCCATGGTGTCTCTCCCTTCTCCATTCTTGCTGCCTCTGTCCTAGTTCAAGCCTCATCATTTTTCACTTAGATGGCAGCATTTTCAAGTGGTTTTCCTAAGAAAACGAGCTTCTCATTTCTCCAGTCTAGCCATAGCAGTCCTATCAGAGTTCCTGGCCTGACAGATCGACTGTCCCTCTTCCTCCCTCCCTCCCCCCTAAGCCCTAGTGTCTCTGCTTTGCTACAGGGCAGGGACAGGCTCTTTAACAACAGTGTGCAGGCTCCCCATGCCAGTCCCTGCCATGTCTACTGTTAATCCACGTGCCACAAGTGGAGCTGCTAGAAGCTCCCTGCCTAGGATGCCTTCCCCATCCTACCTCGGGAGTTTGGTACTCTTTATCAGTACATCCTGGAGCAGGAACCTTTTTCCCTTCTGCCTTCTCCAGGTGTAAATGCTTTCTCCCCTGGATGGCAGGCTCCCCAGGCAGTGGTGGGTGTGATGGTGTGACTGCACTCCGGGTTGTTGATAAATGGGGTTCTGGTGTCTTGGTACCTCTGGGGTTTTCCACTTGGGGTTCTATGCTCTTAATTTTTTTCCTCCTGTCTAGGGGGTCATATTTCTGGGAGGGACATCTTGGGGAACTTTCCTAATATGGAGCCCATAAGGCTTGAGTTCCCAACCCCACTATCTTTGTGCATGCAGAGAGTCTCTGGCCATGCTGGCTTGCTGGGGCTAGTCTGATCTAGGTGCTCTGTGACCTAGCTCACTGTTTTTCTCTTTGGTGGGATCTATGTTTTAGGTATCCAAGCCCAGACCAGTCATGGCCGGACGACCCATCTGCATAGGAGACCAGCTGGTTTTGGAGGAAGATTATGACGAGACCTACATTCCCAGTGAGCAAGGTGAGAGACTTGTGCAGTGCTTTGAGGGCAGGTATTATGTCTGGTACATGCACCGGGCTGTTCAGTATATTCCAAGTTAGTCCATGGGGCCTAAGTTGCCACATTAACTGTTTTGGTAAATAAAATTATATTGGAAAACAGCCATACTTGCTTCTGTGTTATCTGTGGCTGCCTTCATGCTTTGATGTTGTGGTGGTGGTAACAGAATGACCTCCATAGCCTATGATATTTACTGTCTTCCCCTTCACAGAGAACATTTGTTCCTGAGTTGGATCATTAGTTTTAAATGAAAACACATAGGGGATTTTTGTGAAATACAATGTGTCCTGAAGCCAGGGCAACTGTTTTCTTTTTGGTGGTACCAGGATTTGAACTAAGAGCTTCATGCTTTCTGAACAGGTGGTCTACCACTTGAACCCCAGCCTCAGCCCTTTTATGCTTTAGATATTTTTCAGATAGGGTCTTGTGTTTTTACCCAGGACAGGATTGGGCCAAGATGTGCCTATCTATACCCCACTGAGTAGGCACTACAGGTGCATGCTACCATGTCTTTGGGTTATTTGTTTTTTTTTTTTTTTTTGGGTCCAGTCGTGGGGCCTGAACTCTGGGCCTGAGTGCTGTCCCTCAGCTCTTCAGCTCAAGGCTAGCACTCTACCACTTGAGCCACAGCAACACTTCCGGCTTTTTTCTTTTTGCTTATGTGGTGCTGAGGAATCGAACCCAGGGCCTCAGGCATGCAAGGCAAGCGCTCTACCACTGAGCCAACTTCCCAGCCCTGGGTTATTTGTTTTGAATGAGGGTCTAAATAACCTTTTTCCTGGGGCTGATCTCAAACCAAGATCCTCTTGATCTTTTTTTTTTTTTGGTCGGTCGTGGGGCTTGAACTCTGGGCCTGGGCGCTGTCCCTCAGCTCTTCAGCTCAAGGCGAGCGCTCTACCGCTTGAGCTACAGCGCCACTTCCGGTTTTCTGGTGGTTTATTGGAGATAGGAGTTTCACGGTCTCTCTTGCCCGGGCTGGCTTTGAACCGCGATCCTCAGATCTCAGCCTCCTGAGTAGCTAGGATTACAGGCGTGAGCCACCAGCGCCCGGCGATCCTCTTGATCTTTGACTCCCAAGTAGCTGAGATTTACAGAAGTGAACAATCATGACCATTCCCTAACCCAGTTTCTTAAGAACTGAGTTTTTTTTTTTTTTTTTTTTGCCAGTCCTGGGGATTGAACTGAGCTTCTTTTGCTCAAGGCACTCTGTCATTTGAGCCACAGCACCACTTCTGGCTGGCTTTTTCTGTTTATTGGTACTAAGGAATCAAATCTAGGGCTTTATGCATACTAGTCAAGCACTCTACCACTAAACCACATTCCCAGCCCAAGAACTGAGTTTTTTTTTTTTTTTAAAGCAGTGTCATGATTATGGCTATTTATTTAGTATTACTATGTGTCAGTCTCTGTTTTGTATTTGTATAGACTTTATTACCTTATAACCCTCATAAACACCTCTGTGAGTCAGGATTATTACTGTTATTATCCCTGTGTTTCTTTTCTTTCTTTCTTCCTTTTTTTTTTTTTTTTTTTTTAAAGACAGTCTAACTAGATAGCTCAGGATTGCCTTGAACTTTCTTTTTTTTTTATTTTGTTGGTCGTGGGGCTTGAACTCTGGGCCTGGGCACTGTCCCTCAGCTCCTCAGCTCAAGGCGAGTGCTCTACCATTTGAGCTACAGCGCCACTTCCGGTTTTCTGGTGGTTTATTGGAGATAGGAGTCTCACAGTCTTTCCTGCCCAGGCTGGCTTTGAACTGTGATCCTCAGATCTCAGCCTCCTGAGTAGCTAGGATTACAGGCGTGAGCCACCAGTGCCCGACTGCCTTGAACTTTCTATCTTTTTGCCTCAACTTTCTAAGTGCTGTAGTTGTTTGGGGGACAAAGGCTTTTGCAAATCTTAGGAGGGCTTATCTCCTTTTGGTAAAATGCCCTCATCCTGGATGGTTTGCCTGTGGCTTTGGGCTCTTCCTGAGGCCTCAGGCACCATGAAGCTTTGGTTTCTTTTTTCTTTCTTTCTTTTTTTTTTGCCTTTGTTAGACTTGGCTTCAGATTGTATTCTTGGGAGTATGGAGATAACATGACATAATTCATGTGTGCCCTTTATAAATGAGGATGTAGGAAAACGTATGCCTTATATATGCCTATGTATTGCTTATATTTTCTTCAGTAAGACATACTTTTCTTACTGAACAAAATTTGAAACATAAAAGCAAGGTTGGTAAAGGATTGATTGTGATTTTTTTCTTCTTTCCATCCCCTTTCTTACCCTTTTATGTCTTTTACCTTTTTACCCCTTTGCCTCTCCTCTTTGCAGAAATTCTTGAATTTGCCCGAGAGATTGGTATCGATCCCGTCAAGGAACCAGAACTGATGTGGCTGGCTCGAGAGGGCATCGTGGCCCCGTTGCCTGTGGAGTGGAAACCATGGTGAGTGATAGTGAGCGTGGCTTCTCTCACCTGCTAGAGGCAGAGGGGCTTGACCCTGGAGATCACCTTTAACAAGGCTGGCCAGCATGATCAGAGACGGCATGGTGTCATTTCTCTGCCAGGAGACCTGAGGCAGGCTGGCTTGCTGGTCCCTGTTCTGGAGTCCAGCACTTACCCTTGGAACACAGAGCTGCTGCTCTGGCTCAGTCCTCTGGCACCAGTGTCTGGTGCTGAGGAGGGCAAGAGTCATTGATATTCCTGCACTCTGCGCCGCCTTCCCATGTCCAAGGTGGACACTGGTGCCAGAGGGGTTTGTAGTGAGTCTGTGCAGACTGGCAGATGGTTTCTGTCTCCCTTGGCAACCATGGATTTCTACAACCTATTCCTAATAGCATCATATTCATGGATTTTTTTTTTTTTTTTGTATTTTCGAGTGCTTTGGGTTCAGGTTCTCTCAGGAAAGCAGAGGTTCCTGGTGAGGTGCTGCGGTGGTTGTGCTCAGACTCCTTCCATGTTGTGGGTGAAGACCGCACCCTCTCCCGTTTAACACCACACTTTATGCCGCCTGTTGCTCTGCTTTCTCTTCACCACCTCATCCTCACCTCATGCTCAGTGTTTGCTCCAAATTATCTCCCTAAAATCAAGAGCCATAAGCTTACTTTTGATCCTTCAGTGTGCTTTCTGTGGTTGCCATATGCTTGTCTTCTGGAGCTTTAGGGATCGCCTCTCAGACTGAGGAGGTACAGTTTGATGCACAAGGTGAAGTCATCCTTTTCTTACCTGAACTATTTAACCTGATGGCTGTACTTCAAAGTAACTGTGATCGTCACTTCCCTCTTCTTAGCTGCAGGATTCTCATCCTTTGAGCTTTTCTTTACTGGTGGCTCCTGCTTCTCTAGAGCTTTTTCATGGCCTTGCCTGCTGTGGACCCTCTCCAATTTCACATCTTTCGTGTGGGTGATCTGGCAGCACTTCACACTGTATTGCAAGTGCTCAGGACTGGTGGTGGTGTTTTTAGGGTAAACTTAAAAGGTACTAGGGAGCTGTCATTGGTTACGGGACAGCTGTGTGACAGGCTTTGTGCCAGTTGCCTCCAGGTACCTGCCATGGTGGCTAACACGCCCTTGTCCTGTAGGAAGAGCATGAATTATTTAAAAAATTTTAAATAGGATTTTATTGTTATTATTAAAGTGTTATACGGAGGCGTTACTACTTCATAAGTCAGGTAATGAGTACATTTCATTTTCGGACAATGTCACCTTTTTTATTTCTAATTTTTATTGTTAAAAATAATAGAAAAAACTTAAGAGCTTGCCTGTACATGTTATCTTCCACCCTGGTCTCTTTACCAAGGGTCATTACTGTTAGTTGGTAAATTCCTTTCAGACCTGTTACATGTTAAGTGTTAAATGCTATATTATAGGCACTATTCTTCTATGTCAGTAGATGCAGTAGGACGTAAGACCACTTCATTCCTGTTTTAATTGTTTAGACAAGGTTTTTAAAAAAATTAATTTATTTGGTGCTAGGGATTGAACTCAGGAAAGGCAAGACACTCTACCACTTGTGCACACCACCAGCCCTAGGCAGGGTCTTGCTCTATAGCCAAGGTTAGCTTAGGACTCAGAATCCTTCTGCCTCAGTTTCCCAAAGTGCTGGGATTATAGGCATGAACCACTATGTCTTACTCTACCTTATTTTTTCCTGCGTTGGTACTGGGGCTTGAACTCAGGACCTTGTGATTTTGCTTGACTTGTTGGCTCACAACTGGCATTTTATTATTTGAGCTATACCTCTAGTCTAGCATTTTTCTGGTTTTGGAGGTAAGCATCTTGAGGGCTTTTTGCTCAGGCTGCCCTGGAATCACAGTTCTAAGATCCTGGCCTCCTGAGTAGCTAGTATTATAGTTACGAGCCACTGGTGCCCAGCTTGCTTTGATTTTTTTTTTTTTTTTCCGTATGTGGATCTTGAACTCTGCACCTGGGCACTATCCCTGAGTTCTTCAGCTCAAGGTGAGTGCTCTACCACTTGAGCTTTGCTTTGATTTTAAGATGATCTTGCTATGTAGTCCAGTCTGACCTCAAACTACAATCCAATTGCTTAAACCTCCTGATTACTGGGATTACAGATGTGTACACCATCCCCAGGTTAACTGTTCCATTGAAGGAGATTTAGGTATTTTCAAGACAAACCACATTTATGAGGGTCTATTTTTGGATTCTCTGTTCTCTTCTATTGATCTGTTTATTTTTATACAAGTACATTCTGTCTATATTTGTATTTATATCTTATTTTGTGTTGGTACTGGGGCTTGGACTCAGGGCCGAGATACTGTCCCTTAGTTTTTTTGCCACACCTGGCTTTTCTGTTGGTTAATTGGAGATAAGAGTCTAACAGGTTTTCCTGCCTGGGCTGGCTTTGAACTCGATTCTCACATCTCAATCTCCTGAGTACCTAGGACTACAGGCATGAGCCACTAGTGCCTGGCTCACATACTGTCTTGGTTATTGTAGCTTTTTAATAAATCTTGAAATCATTTAGGGTAAATCCTCCCATTATCATTTTCTTTTTTAAAATTTATTTATTTATTTTTGGGTCTGGTCATAGGGCCTGAACTCTGGGCCTGGGTGCTGTCCCTCAGCTCTTCAGCTCAAGGCTAGCACTCTACCACTTGAGCCACAGTGTCACTTTTGGCTTTTTTTCTTTTTGCTTATGTGCTGCTGAGGAATCAAACCCAGGGCCTCATGCATGCAAGGCAAGCACTCTACCACTGAGCCACCTTCCCAGTCCCTCCCATTATCATTTTCAAAGTCAGATTCTAGGTGCTTTGTATTTCCGCATCAATTTTAGAATTGTTGATTTCTGTTAGGATTTTGATTGGAATTGCACATAAGTGAATTGGGGGAGAATTGACATCTTAATATTGAATCTTTAAATCAATTAACATGATCTATTTTCCATTTAGATTTTCCTTATTATTTCTAAGAAATACTTTATAGTTTTTGTGTACATGTCTCATTATCTTCTCAGATTTATCCCTATATAGTTCATATTTTGGATGCTTCTATAAGTGATATATTTTCAATTTCCAATTGTTTTCTTGCTTTTATGCAGAGGTAAAATTGTTTTTTGGTATATTGATCTTGCTCAACTCAATTATGTCAAGTCTAATAGCCTTTCTTTTCTTTTTTTTCCTATAAGGTTTGCTAGAGATGGTAATGTCTTCTGGGAATAGAGACATTTTTACTGCTTCCTTACTAATCTGGTTACCTTTTTTTCCTATTTCTTTCCTTAATGTCTTGGCTGGAGCCTTTGGTATTATTTATAAATACAAATGCCAACAGCATATCTTTGCCTTGTTCCTGCTCTAAGAGAGAAAGCATGCAGTCTTTTCTTGCTAAATAGCTATTAGCTATAGGGTTTTTGCAAATGACCTTTGTCAGGTGAAGTTTTCTTCTCTTCCAAGCTTGCTGAGAGTTTAAAGCAGGAATGGTTGTTAGATTTTCACAATATTTTTTTCTGCATCTGTTAGGATCATAGGAATTTTTTTCCCTTTTTCTGGTCTGTTCATATAAGTTGTACTGATTGATGTTCTTAGGTTAAACTAATTATATTCTTAGTATCAACTCTATTTCTTCGTGATATATTATCCTTTTTATGTTTTATGGGATTTCATTTTCTAAAATTCTGTTAAATATTATTGCCTCTATGTCCAGGGGGCAAATTGGCCTACAGTATCATTTTTCTAATAATGTTTTCTTCTTGTTTCAATATAATATTGGCTTCATGGAATGATTTGTGAATTCCTGCTTTTGTTTTCTGGACAAGCGTGTGTAAGATTGCTATTTTTTCCTTCTGTATTTGATAGAGTTTACCAATGCAGTCATCTGGGCCCCAAGGTTTTCTTTGTGGGAAAAATTCTAACTACAAATACTTTCTTTAATGGACACAGGATTCAGGCCATCATCTCTTCTCCCCTCCTCTTTTCCTCTCATCTTCTCCCTCCTTCCCTTTTCCTTTCATTACTTTTCAAATAGGGTCTCTTGTTTATGCCTGGTTTGACCTGGATCACTATCCTCCTATTATGCTTTTTCCTGGGATGATAGGCATATGCCATATCACCCAGCTTTTTATAGGCTGAGATGGGAGTCTCCATAACTTTTTTTCCTTGAACCTTGATTCTCCTGATCTTTCCCTCTCATTTAGCTAGGATTAAAGGCATGGACCACCAAGGCCTGTACTTGCTAGGTAAGCACTCCACAACTGTAGCTACCTCCTAAGTCCTGGTCCCTATTTCCCAGAGGTTCCACCATCTCTTAGCCATCACCACACTGGGGACCAAACTTCCAATGCATATTTCTTGAGGGACAACCACTTCTATCACATAACTCTTTAATAATTTTCCTTTCTAATTTTTTTCTCATTTTTCCCATTTATTTGAATTAAGATTCAGAATGTTAGATTCATAGGGAGCCTGAATGGGATTGTATTGGATTTGTACATTGATTTGACAGTTATTGGCATTTTGTCAGATTTGAGTCTTCCAGTCCTGGGATTTGAACTGAGGGCATGGGAACTGTCCCTGAGCTTTTTCACTCAAGGCTAGTTCTCTACCACTTGAGCAACAGCTCCATTTTTGTCTTTTTTGGTGGTTAGTTAAAGATAAATGTCTCACAGACTTTCCTGCCCAGACTGGCTTTGAAACCATGATCCTCAGATCTCAGCCTTTTGAGTAGCTAGGATTACAGGAATGAGCCACTGATGCTCTTTTTTTTTTTTTTGTCTCTTTTCTTTTTAACTGTGAAGCATTGTAAAGATTTTACACAGTTTGGATTTATTCCTGCGTGTTTTATCTTCAATTTTGATGTTATGAATGGATTCCTTTTCCTGTTAGCTGTCCTAGCGGAGATGGGGTGGAGTTATTGGGGGTGGGATGAGTGGTTTACTTCGTTGCCGCACAAGTTCTCCTGCATTATTTCTCTTTCCCAGTAGTGTGGCTTGTCACTTCTTATGAGATTAGAATCTTTTGCAAAAAGACAAACAAAAAAAGCTTTTACAATGCACTTTTCTTCAGATTGTTAAGATCTATCTATGTATCTATGTATATTTTTTTGTGCTATTACCGGGACTTGAACTCTGGGCCTGGGCACTGTCTCTTAGCTTTTTTGCTTAAGGATGGCACTCTGCCAATTGAGCCACAGTTCCACTTCAACTTTTTAGTGGTCAGTTGGAGATGAGAGTCTCAAGGACTTTCCTGGCTAGGCTGGCTTTGAACTGTGATCCTCAATCTCAGCATCCTGAGTAGCTAGGATTATAGGCATGAGCTGCTGACACCCAGGTAGTTACTTATTCTTAATCAATGATACCTTCAATTTTGTGTTAGTCCTTTTACCTGCTTCCATCGAATCCTTACATACTCCTTTTCCACATCTTCTCTCTCTGTCTCTCTCTCTCTGTCTCTCTGGTCAGTTGTAAGGCCTGAACTCTGCGCCTGGGCGCTGTCCCCGAGTTCTTCAGCTAAAGGTGAGTGCTCTATCAGTTGAGCCCCAGTGCCACTTCCAGTTTTCTGGTAGTTAAATGGGGATAAGAGTCTCATGGCCTTTCCTTCCCTGGCTTTGAATTGCGATCCTCAGATCTTAGCCTCCTGAGTAGCTAGGATTACAGGCGTGAGCCACCAGTGCCCTGCTGCTGCTGCTGCTGCTCTGTTGCTGCTGCTTCTTCCTCTTCTTCTTCTTCTTCTTCCCCCCCCCTCCTCCTCCTCTTCCTTCTCCTCCTCCTCCTTTTCCACTTCTTCTTCTCCAATTCTAAGTAGTTTGGGGCCTGAGCAGGGACTAACTTCTTTTTAATTTTTATTTTTTGTGAACATACTGTACAGAGGGGTTACAATTACATGGGCAAGATAATGAGTACATTTCTTATCAAGCATTGCAGCCTCCTCCTTTGTTT